TTTGAGACTCTTTCAACGTGTTTGCCTATTTCATGATGGCTGATTTACACGAACAACATGCGGCAGTGAAATTTTGTTCTGCTGAGTGTTCAGCTGTTTTTGACCAAAACCGGCATCACTCTTGTGCCCCACCCTCCCTATTTGCTCGATCTCCCCCTGTGTGACTTTTTTCTGTTTGCCCAGGTGAAAAAAGTCCTCAAAGGGAAACAGTTTGCCAATGTGGAGGAGGAGAAACAAAAAACAGCAGAAGTACTATAAGGCATCAAAATCGATGAGTTCGAAATCTGTTTTGAGTCATGGGGAAAATGTCTTGATAGGTGTATTGCATCAAACAGAGAGTACTTTGAAGGTGACTGAAGTTTGAACATATAAACATAAATACACTATTTTTTATAAATAAATTCCTCCCCTGCCCCTCGTATATGCATCAAAACATGCATCATGCCAAAGACTCCTGAACTGCACGCAGCTGACATGGTCCAAGTGGCCTCCCGTCTGTGTACGGCTGGAAGAGGCGGCTCTGAACACAATGAAATTTCCCAGCCTCCCTTCCTTTCCCTTCCCTCACCTCCTATATGACCATTGTCCTTAGGCTACTAGTATATGCATTTCTTTAACCCTACTTGCTGGGTTTGGTGTGGGCTGAGACTCCCAGTACCTAAGAATTAAGAATACTTAATGACCAAACATGTAAATAAAATAATAAAATAAAATACAGTCCAGGATTTGTTCCAAATTACAAGAGGTATATAAATGTTGCTTGAGGTTGTCACTGTGGTTGGCTTGAGAGAATCAGGGAGTGGGGAGTGTTCAACAGCTGCAGGTTAGGATAAGTGTTTGGCACTGAGAGTAACCCAGCGAGAGCAGGTAGTTTCTTGGTGCCTAAGAGAGAGCAAAGAGCAAAAGGAGTGGTCCTGCGTCACAAAGCAGTCCAGCCTCTGATGAGTCTGATGTCACATTCCTGTCAGAGCACCGCCCTTACCTTGGCTTAGAAAGGCTTCCTTGCACAGAGGGACAAAGTCTAAACTTGGAACCACGTACCGCGTTTATTTCCTGCCTTCTTTCTGATGCTGCTGCCCAGCAGAAGAGGTATTATTCCAGCAACTCAGAAGGTAAGTGGCTTGCTTCTTTATCTCCTAGTCCCTAAACGTGGAAACTCAGAAATACTTTCCTCAGTTGATTAGTTCACAGCCCATCCAAGGGCAGCCAAAGCCAATTTCTGGGTATTTCAACCTTCCTGGTTATGCTATTCTTTAGTGTCAGTCTCTTTAGGGCTTAAACAGTAAAGGGGAAATGGGGTCAGGAGAGAAGGGAGCAACCGTGACCAGTCACAGTCACCAGTCACGTCTTCCTGTGAGGGAGGACAGAGGATGGAAACAAGGGAGAGGGCCTTGTTGAGGTCAACCTTGTTGAGGACCTTCTGCATGCGTAAGGCCACAGGCATCTGATCCAGCATGCAAGGGGCACAGAGGCAAAAAAGGACTCAATGCTTCCCTCACCCTCGAAAATATTTAGATGGATGGATTTGGCCGTCTAAATGTTCCCCCACCCCCCCCCCCCAAACACACACACACACACACACACACACACACAGACGAGGAGGAGGGATTGAGGCACCATCTGGATCTGGTATAAGGCAGCAGTGCCTTTGTCCCTCACATCCCTAGACCCCACACCCATCTCAAAGAGGGTCTTCCGTCTTCCCGTCCTCAGCTGATGCAGAAAGAGCTGTGCTGGCTGAGAAGGAAAGGGGCACCCTCTGAACATGGGGTCACTGCTGCAACCTGGGAAGGCATTTCCAGAGTTCTAGTGGGGACTCTGCCTTTTCCTATGTCTGGCCAGAAAGCATCTACAGGCCTTAGGGTTCTGCCCCTAGTTGCTTCACTGTATCTTGGCATTTGTTACTGTTTTCAATGTTTTTGTACTGAAATTGAAATGTAACTCTTTCAATGCTTTAATTCCTGTAACATGCACTAAGTCTTATTTATTGGTTGCTTGGTTGCTTGGTTTGTTTCTTTATAGTGACAGCAATGGATAGTCCTGGTTTTGGAAAATAACTGGTCCTCTGCCTTGTAGTAGAGAAGGCATCTTCCTGGTTCCTTATGCAAAGCTTCCTGGCATTTGAATAAATATATGCAAAGACCAGCATTCCTGTGGTTCATTATTAGTTTAAGGTTAAGTTCCAGCTATTTGGAAGGTTGAGAAGGAACAAAGGACTTGGGTCAGAAAAGCGGAAGCAGTTGCTAGGTGGTAGAGATTGTAGACATATTGGTTAAGGCTAAAACAATAGGGTTATTTAGACCAATTCCAGATGAGATGTGTTGTATTAGACAAATTCCAGATGAAGCAGCTGTGCCGGGTGCACAGAAACAAACCTTGAAGACTAATGGATTTATTGTAGCTTTGACTTGCAAAGACTAGACACCCTGTTCTGTCAGATATATGAAGTGTTATCCACAGTTGGCTGATAAAACACGCATGAATATAAAGAAAGTTGCATTCATGAGTTCCAAAGGCCATAAAATGCAAGCTTTACAGCTTGTCCTGTTTCTGTAGAAAGTTCAGACTTATCACTGAGACATATAACCAGTGGACTGGGTTATTAAAGAAGACAAGGCATATAAAAGCTATAGTATGTAAGAGAGCTGAAGTCCATTCCATTAAAGTCATTTGTATTAATGATTTGGAGGAAGGGATGGAGGGGCACTTATCAAATGTGAAGAGATGAAATTGGATGGGATAGCTAATGCCTTAGGAAATGAAAACAGAATTATCTTGAGCACAGAAAACTGGGCAGAAAATAGCAGAATGAAATTTAACAGAGACAAGTGCCAAGTTCTTCACAGAGGAAGGAGAAATAATACCTGACCTGAGAAAAGTACATGTGAAATCAGTCTTGGAGCAATAGTCCATTACAAGCTGTGTATGAATCAGCAGTGTGATGTGGCTGCCAATAACTAAATAAAAAGCAAATGCAGTATTAGTTTGCATCAATCAAAGTAGAGTTTCTAAATCTCAGAAATTAATAGCTGTGCTGTCCTCTGCACAGCTCCAGTTCTGGACCCCACCCATTAAGAAGGATTTAAATAAATTGGAAGAGAAGAGCAACAGAGAAGGAAGAAACTAAGACTTACAAGAAAAGGTGAAAGGAACTGGGTATCTTTAGCCTTGAGAAGAGAGCGTGAGGGAGGATTTATCCCTTTCAAATAGCTAGAGTGTTGTCACACAGAGGATGCAGGGCATGGGACAGCAGGCGTCAGCTGCAAGAAGACAGCTGTTGGTTGACTATTTGGTTCAACAGGTTCAGTTGACAAGCTTCCTAATGGTCAGAGCAGTCAGACTGTACGACCATCTGCCTGAGGAGGTGGGGGGCTCTTCTTCATTGCAGGTATCCAAGCAAAGGTTGGATGGCCTGTCAGGGATGCTTGCGGGGTTCCTGCCCTGAGTAGGAGGTTGGATTTGACAGCTTAAATGGCCCCTTCCAGTTCTCTGATTCTAAGGGAATGAGGAGTTTTGCGGGAAAAATATGCAGTGCAAATTGTCAGGGCCTTCTGGTGGGGCTTTGCTTCTCTTCTGCATCTTTGCTTTCTTTCCTTGGCTCTTTCCCTTCTTTTACTTCTCTTCTTTGTGGCTTTTCTGCTTATTGGCTTTTCTTTTTGGCAGTGTGTCTCTGGTTGCACATAGATTTGAGTAGCTGAGTTGCTGAATGTATTAACAGTTCACAACATGGCCAACATTTTGGAGAACTCCTCCTTCCTCAGGGGTTTCCTGCACGAAACAAAACTCCTCGTTGTGGTGAATGTGTGGCCATCAGGAATTGGATTTATGCAGGGAACCTCCGAGGAAGGAGTTATTCCCTCGCAGCTCGGGCTGGCTCTTTCGTGATCCTTGCATCACCCTGCTAGTTGGTGCCCCCTCCCCATTTCTGGCTGGAAAAGGAATGAAAAGCACCCACGCCCCGACACCATTCGGAAAGAGGAAAGCTCACATCTGCCCTCTTCACCACAGTAAATGCTCACTTTTATTACCCAGGAGTCCTGGTGAGCAATGAAGCAGGAGCAGTGGGGCAACAGGGCAAGGTGGCTGGCGCTACCGTTCAGTTGCCCTTCATCTCCTTCAGGGTGGCAGAGATTGGACCCACCGCTGCCCACAGGGAGAGGGCACTGCAGAGGAATGGGCGGGAATGACCACTTTTCTTCCTTCTCCTCCCCGTCACTGTTGCTATTTGCGTACTCACCTGCTCTCCACTGAAACGGAGGAGGAGGAGGAAGAGAGAGACAAGGAAGTGGCATAACCTGCTCACTCAATTGCTGACCCTCTTGACGGAAAATAACAAAGATCTGGAGTGTTAGTCACCTCCTCCTAGCTTTTCAGCACTGAATCCAATGGCTCTGTTCACCCCTACTCCAGTGCAATAAATTGGGCCAGTCAGCTAAATATAATGTTGCTGTCAGGGGTGGCTGGCAGGAGGCAAAATAGAGACTCTGGGACCAGGGCAAGAGAGCTCAGGTCAATACAGAGTCAAAGGCCAGACAGCAAGTTTCAGTAGCAAAATCCAAGTTGTGGCCACAAACCAGGCCAGGGTCAGGGACCAGGAGCAGGTGTCAGGGCAAGACATGGTCATGGATAAGGCAAGGGTTGCGAACCAAGAAGACAAGCAGAGGTGCAGGTATGTCGAGGCAGGATACCCGGGCAGGATACATGGCCCAGCACGGCACAGCAAGGCAAGGCTCACAGCAAGGGTCAGGCACGATGCAGGAGCTGACCCACAGCTAGCAGGAAAACCTTGCATTGCTGAGGTGAGACAGTAAGACAGGATTTTGTTCAGGCAAGAAGTGTGTTGCTGAGACATGTTCTGGAGGGAAGAGCTTGCTGTTACATAGTTTTCCCTCCAGGCCTCCTAACTGGCCTGGGGGACATCAGGAGGCTGAGAGCTCCAGCAGGGCCTGGGACCAATCCTGTGAATCCTGTGAGGTGGGTGTTCTGGGTTTGGCCACCAGATGGCGCCCCAGAGCAGCCCAGATTCTAACAAAGGTAAATACAAGCACCTTTATAATGCATTCTACTACCCTTTTCGTATTCTGCTGTTTCACACCCACCCGCACATCCCCAAAACATTTGATTTCATGGGAATCAGCACTGTGCACCAGTTTGGAATGTTGATGGAATTTATCATCTACAGGATCTGAACTTAGGAAGATGGCAGATCTCTTTGGCCGTAGGGGTAACCAACAGTACAAGTAAGTCCACATACCTCTTAATGACCACTTTATGATCTTGGAAGGCTCTGGTTGCCACAGTGAACTTTTTTTTTTTTTTTTGAGTTACATTTTTCTGTGCAGATGGACTCTAGAATTTAACCTTCCTTCAACACGATAAAATTTTATCAGCTCCAAGACCTTGAAATCCACCCTAAACTTTACATGCACCTTAGCAACTTGTACAGGCAATTTTACTTTGTCAGAAACATAGGTATATTGGCCAGGATGGCCACTTAAATATCACCAAAACAGAGGAAATGCTTCACCCAAAGAGAGATTTAAAATAATGCAGATTTTCCTAACATTTTTATTGGCATACATTAAATAGAAACACATCTCACCTTGGTGGGTCCTCACTAGACTAGATTTGGATTAGGCCTTTCAAATAGAGGACTATCTAACTTTTTCTACAATAGAAAACAAGATCACCCTAACTTTGGCTGTTGTCTACAGGACTCAATTTTGGAATCCTGAGACTTGGGCCTGATCCCATTTAAAACAGTGCTCCTGTTATGGAAATGTAGTGCCAGATTGTTGAAAATCTGGACTAATGTCAGAAGAGATGTTGCTTTCATGCAGTGGACTTCATAATGATACATGGTATTAGAACGGACTTGTGCCTCCTAAGCTTCCTTTGAATATAAAGGATAGTTGCTTTAGCCTGTAGCAGTAAGAAGAGCTCGGGCTGCTGGGAAAGACTACCAAATGCATCATGGCGTCGGCATCTACAGGCAGAGTGTCTCATCTGATAACGTGGAGCCTTGCCTGATTAGTTCAATCATTTAGCTGACGTGCTTACTTTTTGCTCTAGTTTAATGCCAGGTTTTGCATCAAACAGCTGGTGCTTAAGTTATGACAACTACAAAAACAGTTGCAAATGCCACTTTCAGCTCATAGTATCACACTACCTGAGCACAAAAACTTAAAAAATAGCTCCAAAACTGGGCTATAGAGGAATGTTATGTTTTACTTAGGACACCACAATTTAGAAATACAAAATACCAGGTACTTTCCATGAAAATTTGAATGGTTTAGCTTTTCACTGCTGCTGCTAGTTAATGTTTGCTCTTAGATGTATATATAGCTCCAAGCAGCTCAAGATGAAGGATGTGGGTATTTCCTATTTTATAATCCATGTAACAGTCTTGTGAGGTAGGTTGCATTGAGCAATGCTGACTGGTCCAAAGTCACTTAGCAAGCTCCATGGCTTGAACAAGGACTGGAATTGATAATGGAGTAATGTTTAAGCCACCAAGAGCTCCACACCTATCTGGAGTCCGATCCATATAAACGAGGCTACCTTAACTGTGTGGCCAGCTGTATGGAGCAGCAGAGAAAGGATGAAGAAACATAATGTGGGTAAAGTGAGTCTCTTTCCATGTCAGGGAGATGTTTCCAAACCACGACTTTATTTGTTTTCTCTGCAGTGAAACCGGAAGCGACTTCAGTAGAGCTAACAGCATGTCCAGGCCAAGTGGCAAGTCGATCTACCGTAAGGATCATCTGCTCCTCTCGCCTTTGTTCCTTGTCTCCAGTGTGTTTCCAGTTCGCTAAGCTGGAATCTTAACTCTGGGACCTGCACATGCATTAACTTTTGCCCAGAGCCTTCACGGGGGGAGAACAGAGAGGAGCCCCTCATCACTCCCTTTGCCTTCCCACTTGTTTTCTCACAGCAGTACCCTAAAGTGCTTGACCCGAAGAAAGTGCCTCAGAGAGAGGCATGTGCCATTTTACACGACAATTTCACCTTCCTAGTTCCAGGACCAAGCAACGAACCCAGACATATCAACCACCCCACTCCCATAAACTAGTTTGGACAGGGTGGGGGTTCCCCCAGCGCCTCATCAAGAGTCCACCCTCTTACTGCCCCTTTTACCAGCTGCCTCTGCTCCTCCTCCTCTTTTTCCTCATTGCTCCCACTTGCTTGCTTGGCAGGCAGAGAGCCAATCAGCATGGAGGGGCTGGCTCCCATAGCTCTTCCTTCTCGTTGCCACCATTGTCTGCGCTACTGTGACCGGCAGGTGAAGAAGCAGGTGGGAATGGTGAGGAGGAGGAGGAGGAGCACCACCTCCAGGGGGCTAGTGTGGACCCTTGGTGGGTGCCAACCTTGATGCTGGCCCTGCCCCCCCCCACTTCTTCCACCTTGAAAAAGCAAACAAGAAACCCTCAATAATACAACACTCCAAGTTTGCACAGGGAGGCCAGTAGAAGCCCTCCCAGATTTCACTCCCAACAGGCCTCTCTCCCGCTTGGGCTCTTGCTCAAGACCCTCTGGCCACACTGGGAAGTGCTGCCAGGCTGCCCCCTGAAGAATAGTTGGAGACAAAGTCTGAGCAACGCTCAGGACCCCTGGAATGCATGCGCTGCACGTGAGAATGGGGAAAATCTCATACTTCATACCGAGGTCCTGGATTCTTGCACATATATGAGGATTCTCACACCTTTGGCAACACTGAGTTTCTCTTCCAGTTACTTTCTATACTCTGTTCTCTTTCATTCTCACAGAACAGCGTAAGGAATACACTGAAAATATTATCAAGCAGGAAAATGACTTGCAGCATCCGGTGGAGGTAGGCGAAACTTGAGGAAGCAAGAAAGGGGCTATTCCAGTTTGTCCAGTTTGCAAAAGATAAAATCATACGGTTGAAAGAGGCCTAACCGGCCATTGAGGTGGAAGTTATTCATGTGACAGTGACAGTTCATACAATCAATGACTCCACAGAACATCTTGCTCTCCAACTGGTGGCCCTGTACAACAGGTGACGAAGCCCTTACCTAGCAGGATGGTGGATTTTCCCTTGCAGGATAGCCAGCTCTTGCAGATGCTGGAGCTCTAGATCCCTGCATTAGCCAGGAAGTTGGATTAGATGGTCTCCAGCTTCATGATTCAATGGCCTGGTTCACACGTTATGAGGCACCACCATGGGGTCATTAACCCACAGGGCTTCTCATTGCAGAGGTGGCCATGGTTAATATTCAAGCAGTGGCAGCAGTGCGCTGTACCTTGTCATTATGAGCAAACTCAGCAAGGGCGGGTTGTTGGGGTGCTTGACCCAGGATTGTTTTGGGATTTCCATACACCACAAGAACCCACCCTAGTCAGGTTCACACATCACGACAAGCTAGGGCATGGCTCAAAGAATCAAAATGGCAGCTGTGGCTTCTTGTTACGTGTGACTCACATCCTACAGGAGATTATGTGGGCCACCAACTGTCTAGCTAGCTATTTACAAATAAATGTTCAAATGATCATGCCTGTGTGTGGAGCTGGAGCAAAATCGCAGCAGCAGTCTCCGTCCCCAGCCATTTGAGGGAGTCTGCAAGTACAGCTGCGTACAACCACAGATCTCTTCATGCAATTGGGAGTTTTTGGGTGTATGCAGAGGGGCTCTGTTCACACATGCAGATGAATGCAGAGGTCAGGGGCAAGGTCTGCCATGGTGATTTTGTCCTTCCACCTGCAATGCACATTTTTGAATGCTTGAAGGGGATTAAGCCTGGCTTTCTCAGATTTAAAGGTGCCCTGAGATCCAGTATGAGAAGAATTCATCTGTCAGCCGATGAAAGAACATTTATTGATTGACCATCTCTCTTTTAACCAATGCAGTTTAAATACATTGGTTTAGTGTATTGGTTAAATACATTGGTTTAAATACATCTAGGGGGAGTGTTTTTTGCGGTTTAAGGAAGGCTAAAGATAATTTACAGTTTAATGAACAAAACAAAAATATTGATAAAAAGGGTTGTTTTAAAAAATTTAATTTCCCTTCCTTATTACAATAACACACCATAATCAATTTAACCCTTATTATGTAACACCATTTATTTTATTTTGCCCCTGCTAATTAAAATTTCCTCTGCTAAATCAACTGAGGTTTTTGTTGATTAACCTACTGGTTAAAGCAATTAAAACTTCCAATCATTATAGATATGAATACAATTTAAATGAAAGGCTAAAACAGAAGAAGATGATTACAATTAATTTTATTTCTATTCTGACCGATAGCTGAAGCTTTCTGTGCAGTTTACCACAATGCACAGCATTCATTAAATGTAGTATAAAATACAGGTAGCAGTCAAAATCCATAAAATTTCACTACAAAATTTAAAACCAAATTTTGTGCAATACTTTCTGGTCCCTCTTTCGGGAATTGTGTGTCCAAGCACAACTTACCTACAATGATGGCTGAACACAGACTTCCATTCCCAGCACCTGCTCACTTGTATCATTGACGGCAGAGAAATTAGCAACACGAAGAACTGCATTGACCGCCTCAAGATGATGAGTGCCGAAGGCCACGTGTGGGGACAAAGCATGTTTTTGCAGGTGAAGGATTTCCAGTTGCTGCTGACTGATATTGAGACAGAGGTAAAGAGAGCTCCCTTGCCTTACCCTGCCCTCCCCCTTGTGCCGGTGAGGAGCTGTGGGTGGCTGGCAGAGCCAGGATTCCTTGCCGGGAACTCCCCAGTGGCCCATCCAGCTGCTGACTGCCTTCCGATTCTTTCTTTTGCTAGACGGAGCTGGAGAGCTACCCGCTGCCGTGCATCCTTGAATGTGCCTGTGTCCTTAACAGCTGTGTTTACAATTCCATCTTGGCCATCACTGTGAAAGATGTGAAACTCCCCAGAAATAAGATCCTGCTCTTTCAGTGCGAGAACATTGGAGTAAGCTCTTCTTCCCAGAGTGAGGGAGTGGGAAAAGATACTTTGGGGAGCTCAGGGTCAAACTATAGGCTATTCTTCAGCGCATGATTGCACGCAATACGTTGGGTTGCTGTATCAGCTGGTGTGCTGGGCCCCAGTGGGACCGTGGGCCAAGGGAAGGAGGTTTTCTCTGTGCCCCCCAGGCCTGCCTGCCTCACCATGTGCCTTATCAGGGCAATGGGGCAAGTTCTGAACAGCCTCTCTGTGGCTCCAGCTCTGATTGGTCCTGCATGGCTGCTACTCAAGCCTGGCCTCAAGTGCAGCCGCACCTTAACATAACATGTCATTTGGCTCATGGGGAAGTGGGGAGAAAACACGAAAGAAGGGATGCAGAAGTGATGTTAGGGAGCATACTCCTAAGCTGCCGCTCTGCATTTGGAGCCCGGATCTCTAGGAGGGCATCCACCTCATCGCCCTGATTTCCATGGGAACTTGGCCCAGATGAAGGCACAAAACTGGCCTCTTCATGATCTCTGTTGCACCTGGATTAGTTGGCTTTTCTCCCAGTGTGCATCATGTCCTGCTGCTCTCCCCATTGAACCTTTCTGCCTGAAGGTTTTTTTCCCCTGGGATCAGATGCCTTCCTTTCCCATATACCCCTTTTTACAGAAAGGGGTGTCCTTAAGATACAGGGTCCTTTACAGACTTTAGAGCATATGTAAATTAGCAGGTGCAAATTTGCACTTTGTGCCCTCCTGTGGGTTTGCGCCACAGGTCTTTTCGTTCCCTAGCATCACTACCCCTGGCTGAATGAGGAAGAGCTGGATTGTTTCAGTTTCGATTTCAATCAGGGTTGCTCTGGGGTGAGCCCTCCATTCCATTCAGCCAGGCTATGAGCTGAGAGGCCTTCTCTAACCCATCTGCAGACTTCTTCCTCAGGAGAATAGGAGCCTCTGCAGGGCAAAATGCTAATTCCTGCTGTTGTGACAGGAATCATGGGAATTGAGAGTGATCTCTGCCTCAGACAGTGACTGGAACTGGTGGTTTCATCTTGAAGCAGGCCTAGGAATACCGGAAGGCCCTAACATGGAAACTCTGGTGGGTTTTGGGGAACAGTGAGAGGCTGCTTCAGTGCTTTGTCTTTCCTCTAGGCAGATATGCTGAAAATCAAATTGGAAAAGATCATTGAGGAACAGAGGAATGAACAGCAGAATGATCACTTGCTCAGGTAACCTTTATTTATTCTTTCTAATTCACTGTTCTGCAAAAAAAAAAAAAAAAAAAAAAGGCACTCAGAGCAATGACTCCTTATTGAGACCTTTGTATGGAATGCGTGTGTGTGAGTGGGTGGGTGGGTGGTGCTTTCAAGATCTGGATTGGTCCCCATGCCTGCTCTCGAATAAAAATGGAAATGGAGAAAGCAGATTTAAAATGTATAGTTATCTTGGCCTTTCCCCTGTTTGCAAAACACGTCAAGATTAGGGAATTTTTTTCTTCCATGTCTAGCCAGACACTTTGGCTGCTCTCATTCAGCTTCTAGAAATTAAAATGTAATGCTGGATTATCTCAAGCCTCCCCCACTTCTTCTCCCGAGGATTCAAGCACATATTCTTAATTTCCTTGTCAGGAACAACCTGGAGAATATGTTGTCCCAGCAGAAGTGGAATAACAACCCACGGTGGATGCCCCAGGACCAAAGGGCGGCAGGACCTTTCCCTCCTCCTCCCCCAACACAAATGCCTCAACAGAGACTGCAGCGGCAACCTTGGACATCCAGACCAGCCCCACCGGGCAACAATATAGGTGACTTTATTATTCTCTTTTGTCTTTTGCATCTTCCACTTAGATGAATGGGATGACGAGTCCGTCGATATTATTATTTGACCTCATAAAGCAGGAAAGACTCAATGCTAAAATATCTCATGGCACTCCCCCACTTCTATCAGCCGCCATCTTCAGGGCTGGTCTGCAGGCTGCGTCCCACAGCAGCCCCACTTGTGTGGGTTGGCTGGGAAATGGCATACAGCTCTTATATGCCCACTCTGGTGGCAGCCTGCCCTTAGAGCAGAAAGACTCAAAGGTAGCCAAAATTGGGGAGGATGGGGCTCTGCCATTGCATTTTGGAAGATTAGGGAATCCTGTGGTCCCCCAGGAGATGCTGGGCAGCAATTCCCCTCATTCCTAACCAGTGCCATGCTGTGTAGAACCAAGGAGAGTTGGAGTCCAGTAACATCTGGAGGGCCCCAGTTTTGCCAGTCCTGTTGCTTGGCATTGCTTGGTTAGTGCCAGAGGAAGGCATAGACTAGATTTGCATGGCATAGGTCAACCCCCCTGTCTCTGTCGTCCCCAAAAGATGCCAGCTGGTAGTGGCCCAGCCTCCCACTCACCTCTGCCACCACTGGCAGCTGCAGCCAGATTTCTTCCAGGCTACTACTTGGGCCCTTGAATAAAACCAACTGGGGCGTGTGCCGTCTGGGCAGAGATTTCAAACGGAGACTCTTCCTGCTATGGCACATCCATACGTGATTTTGGACTTTGACCATTGCAGAAGCCGAACGGCCACCTGGCCAGCAGTGGGGTGATTCTGAGCCATCTGTGATGAAACTGGAAACAGAGAGAAATGCCGTAAGTACTTTCAGCCCTTTTCTGGGTGCAAATGCTGATAGTTTGGAAAGAAGGCACCTTTCCCTGTGGTGTTTCTAGGCTGTGAAGGGCCGCAGGGTGGAAAGTGTCCCACATTCAGATGTATAGGGTAGGGAAGCTGCATGGTCTGGAGAGTTTTCTGGGCGGAGAAAGGGTTACAAGGAATGCCTTTTCAACAGAGTTATGAATTTGCTTTGAGTTATGTTAAGTTATGCTGCTTTGAGCAATGTGAGGTGGCCATGAAACATTCTTCTGCAAGTAGTTTAGAAACTGGTTTAGAAAGAAAACCACGAAAGGGGGCAGGTAGGAAACAAACTTACAAATGCAGGACTGGTGTAACCTTTTCATCCAGGGATAATTTCTGAAATTGGAGCGATGATAGCCTATGTATAAAAAGTCTTGTCCTGTGGCTAGTTAATGTGTCTCCTCCTCTGAGATTTATTTTTCCAGATGAAAAACCGAATGAAGTAAAGGGGAGAGATCATCTGCCAGTATAAAATATGGAGTGGGATCCAGACTTAGTCATACTTACAGTAGGCCAATTGAAATCAATGGGATTTCAAGCATGCCTGACTTAAATCTCATTGATTTTAACTGGTCTCCTCTAAGCGTGACTAAGTCTGGATCAAACCCATAGTTTCTAATGCTAAACTTCTGCATGTTGTTTGTGAGACCTTTTGCTCCTGGTTACTCCTTTAAAAAGAGCTTTTAGCACAAAGCCTGTGATGTAGTGACCAATTCAGTTTCTGTTCTTGTTTCTTGGGCACAGGAGATCCTGAACCATGTCCTGGATGACATTGAACGGTTAGTAAGTAAGCTTAATTCAGCCAGTGGCTCCTCGAGTGTCAACAAGAAGAAATGGAATTGGAAAATGAAGAAAAGTCAAAATGGTGAGTAAGAATGGGAAAGAGGCACCCATGAACTTCTGAGGGAAAACCTCCTAGGAAATAGGCCACCCAGAACTGGAGGAAGCAGCAGTATAGCAGAAGACAGAGTGGAACAGCCTCCTCCAACCTGTGCTCTCCAGACTTGCTGGACTACAGCACCCATCATCCCCCACCAATAGCCATGCTGGCTGGAATGATGCGGGCTGCAGCCCAGCACATCTGGAGAGCACCAGGCTCAGGAATGCTTGTTATGTAATCCTCCAGAACGGGAGGTGTATTTTCAGTAGGGAAGTCCACTTGGGACTTGCATAGGCAGCAGCTGCTCCTAACCGAGGCAAGGCGGAGGGAGCGCCGTCTCTGCTGCTCCCCGGACCAGTGGCCAGGATACGGTCTGCCTTGTCTACCCTTGGCAACGTTAACAAACCGTTCCGGATTGCCCCAGCTGGCAGTGGGGAGGCTTCTTTGCTGCAGGCACACTCAGAGCAGCACCACAGCTTCTGAATCAATCGATCGATCGATCGATTAAGGAAGACTTTGTGTTCTTACAGTAAGATCAGGATTTTTAAGCAGGGGTGTTAGCCTTGCTAATATGTCTGCCCTAGACCTGATCATGTGGATTCAGATGCTTGGTCTGGCCAACCTGTTTGAGAGCAACCAACCCTTCAAGATCGTCCAGAGAACAACCGTAGGCAAGAAGACATACATAAAGTTGCAGAGCCACTTAATTATAATAAAGTTTAACTAAGGGGATCTGTACCTTTATGATCATATAAATGCTCACGGCTGTATCACAATTCAGTGTTCCTGACCACTTTGCAGATCTTCCCACATGGACAGATTTGTGGTGGGGTTTTTTCCTTCCAACCTTCTTTCAAAGCCATCTAAGCAAGTAGCAATTATCACATCTTTATGCTATTTATTGGTTGTGCAATGTGAGGAAGAAGTAATTTCCTCCAGCTGTTCTGGATCTACTAGCAGCCAGTTTTGTTAAATGAACCACATCCTGATATTTTGATTTGAAGCAAAGTACTACAGCTCTATAGGGTATGCAGTGGCACGGTGGTTTAAACTGCTGGTCACCGGTCCGAATCTGCACAATGGGGTGAGTTCCCGTTGCTCTGTCCCAGCTCCTGCCAACTTTGCAGTTCAAAAGCATGCAAATACAAGTAGATAAAAAGGTACCATTCTGGTGGGCAGGTAACAGAGTTCTGTGCACTTCGGTGTTTAGTCATGCCGGCCACATGACCATGGAAGCTGTCTACGGACAAACGCTGGCTCCCTCGGCTAGGAAACGGAGAGGCGCACCACCCTCTAGAGTCAGACATGACTGGACTTTAATGTCATGGGGAAACCTTTACCATTACCTTTTACAACTCTGGCAGTTTTAGCATTGATTTGATCCTTAATAGTTCCATACATGGACTTTAGCTTTCACAAGTGTTTAGCTTTCACAATACAACTGATGTTTCCAAGAAGCTGCTCACCATGACCCCAAGGATTCTTTTCTGATTTCCTGCCATTTCAGTGCTCATCATGACATGGGAAAGGTCAGGATTTTTGACCCAGCATAGACCGTTTTATGCTTGCCAATGTTGGATTTCACTTGTCATTTTATTGCCCATTTTCTTAATTTGCAAATATCTTTGTGGAACTCTTTATAGCCTGCTTGGTTTTCAACATCCTGAATATTTTTGTGTCATCTGTAAACCTGGCCACTTTTCTCTTCACCCACAAGTTTAGGTAGAGCCACAAGTCAAATAAAACAGGTCACAATGTGTTATTTTGACTTGGCTAGGTTAGGAAGAGGTTGTGAACTGTGTGTGTGTGCACTGACATGGTTTTTCTCAGGGCTGTACATTTGGATTTATGGCCCAGTCTGGAATCCTTGGCATGGGTAGAGTTACCTCTTTGTGGCAGTCCTTTTGTCTTATCTCAAGGCCAAAGTGAATAAGCTCTCATTATCCCTCTGGTTCTGCAGGATTGCCTTCAAAGGATAAACTTGAGGACTGTTTCCAGAAGATCAAATATGGCATCAATTTGCTGGTAGGTCTACAGCCTGTGTGGCCTTGGCTGAATTTTCTCCAGCACCAGCAGAGCTGGCTGCATTTCGCAAGCCATGGATTCTTCTTGTCTGTCCTAGATGCTATCTAGGACAGCAGCACAAAGCACTGTATTGTAACAAGCTGCAGTCGTGCATTGCAAATACAGAGGCCAAAGGTGATTTTTCTTGGGAAAAATCCCAAGATTTTTGACCAGTCTCAGACCTGAGAGGTGGGAGAAGAAATGTGGGGATAGGAAAAAAATCCCAAGATTTTGGCCAATCTCAGACTTGAGAGGTGGGAGAAGAAACATGGGGATAAGGAAGACGGGGCATAGAATTTTAAGTGCTATATGTACTTGGAAGGAATATTTAATACTCTATGCTGCTTATATTTTTATTATTATATAATAATAATTCTTATATTTTTATCCTTATTTTCATACCAAAACAATCTTCCAAAGCTACTCACAGCAATTAAACCTAGGAATGCTGCTGTCTTTCACTGTCTGTAATGGTACAGACTTTATCTTTAGACTTACAATCTCATGTTCAAACCAAATGTGATGCCATTAACAATTGCATGTATGGCCCTTTTTGAGGGGCATAACAGATCTCTTTAGCACTGTGGTCCAGAACTGGCCTTCCCTCCACTTGCTCTTTGCGTTACAAGACAAACTCCCATTCATGCCAATCAAAGAAAATAGAAGCATTTCTTCCAATGCAAATGGTTGGTGCAAGCAGCTGGAGCTGGACTGGGATCACAGCCAGGTGGGGGGGTGAAGGGTCTGGTTCAGCCCTCATGTCCACCATGTACATTTCTCAGACCGTTCTAACACTGTCTTATTGCATAAATAGTATCTTATTTACTTTAACTGGAGGGCTCTGACTATGAGGTCCCTTTCACAACATTTCTTCCTTTTGCAGCTCCCCAAACTTCAGTACTCAAGAAGATACCTGAGAGACAAACAAATCCCCTCCTCTCTCCTGAGCTTTCACATCCAAATTGTCCTTCCACTCCATCTGCGTCTTTTCCCTCAGGGGGCTAAAAGCAGCTGGAGGAGAAATTTTGAGATGGGAAACAAGCAGAAAAGGCTAAGACAGGAACGGGGCCCTTCCTGCCCATGCTTGTCTGTTTTATTATTATACTTACACGCCACCATTTGCCCTTCTGGCAAGGAAGCTTGGGTGGTCTCAATGGTTCTCCACCTCTCCATTCTTTCTTCACAACAGCCCTGTGAGGTCAGTCAGGTGGAGATTCAGTGACTGCCCCAAAGACACCCAGTGAGCTTCATGGCTGCAGGGGGTCCAGAACCCCAGTGCCCCCAGTCCAACAGTCTAACCATTGCCCCTCAGTGCCCATGCAGCTGCTGCCAAGGGCCTCTTGCCTGGCCCACAGGATTCTTTCGCTGTATAGCTGACTGCTGTTGAGAAGAGGCTGGGCAGGCCAGTGGCACCGGGGTCAGTCTGGGTTTTAGTCCGAACCTTTAAAAAGCCCTCCATGGTGAGCAACCCTCTCCCCAGAATAGGTTCAGCACCACGGACAGCTCCACCAAGATTGCCGCTCTGGACTATTGCCCAAGAAGGGTATTTAAAGGGTAATTCACCTCTAGATGCCTTGCAAAGAACTGAGCTGTGCATCTCTCAGGCAGGAGACTGGCTTATTCATCAGTAGACAGAACAGAGACTTTGCATTTGGGATGGTATTTGAAAATGCTGTTGTGTGATTCAGGTTACTTTTCTTAGACATGCAGAAGCCTTGCCTTTACTTCTGAACAGGTTCAAAATGGCAATCACTGGAGCTGGAGCATGGGACAAATCTATGTATGATCCTCACTCGGGCTGGTGAGAACCTAGTGCTACCCTCGCTTCAGATGAATAATGAAAACACAGATCTGTGAGGCTGTTTGTTTCTCTTGCTTCCAGTCCATCCATTCATTAGAAAGTCAATGGTTTATTGAGTGGGGTTGTTTGTCTGTGTTTTTGCAGGGGAAACTCGAAGGCAAGATAGAACAGCCAAGTGTTCCTCAGCTGATTCATCTTTTATTTTCCACTTTATCTACCGTGAGTACTCTAGCCAGGCAAGGACTACTTCAGGCCTCTTGCAATCATCTGCTTTCTGCTTTAAGCATCTTCTTACTAGAGAGAGAATAGTTCTTATTTCTTTTCTTCCCATCAATGCATGCCTCTCAAATGCTAACAGAGCATAGGAAAGCCCCTATGTCTCATTCTTGGGGCATGATATAATTTATTTTGATTTTATTTTGGTGATGTTCTTGGGTTAGCCTAAGCATTGTGACGTGGCCCAGGCTGCTGCATTGTGCAGTTTTGCATTGCTCTGCAGCCTCTCAGACTTCCTGCAGTTCCTGATCTGAAAAATCCCAGTGGGAGGAATAACTTCATGATGCCTTCCCCTGGGCTTTAATCGAAGTGCAGGAAGCTAAGGAGTCTTTAGGCTGCCAGAGATAAAATATGAAAGATAGACCACTCACACACATTCTTGGTTACTTTGTGAGAAGTCTAAAACCTACCTGTGAGAACAGCTTCACGATTTTCTTTGATTTTTTTTTTCAAAGCCACTTTTTCTTTCAAACTGAATGTGAGTGGTTAAAGATGCAGAATGCAGCACCATCCTGAAAGTTGGGCCATAGTGGGCAGAGAGGAAGAAGTTACTGGCTTCCATGAATCATGTGTGCTGTCACTCTGCAGATTTTGTCCAAGTGTTCCGGGACCTACGTGGCTTCTTCAGTGGTATCACCTTTGTTGATTCCCGAAGCTATTGACATGCTCAGGCGCACCTTGAATTATGATGAGCAGCTGACTTGGAAGAGTTTGGGAATAGCTTGGAGTGTGCCCAGGTAAGGTTGATGCCCAGTGAAAAGGCAACACGTGCAAATTGAGTCATTTGACAGTGGACAGAAAACCGAGTGTGTGCCAGTTACATACCACACCATCGCAGGAGCCTTCATGCTTGGTTTACAACATTGGTAAATCTATGAGGCCGCTCCCGGAAGCAGTATTTTCATCCCGCCAACTGATCTAGTAGGAGATTTCTTGTGTTCTTGCATTATAGTTACACTTATTTTCCCCCTCAGCAGGTGAAACATACCAGCTGGCTCAGGCAGCTGATTTGGAGTATCACAAAGCGGAAACACATTTTACCTATTTTGCAAACAATGCTAAGTCATTCGACTGTTAGAGATTTAACCCAGTTTATTGTCCTATGCAGGGTTTGTCTGACAGACAACAAAACAAAGCAACAAAACATGGTTTATTATACTTGCTGTTTCCCTCTTACTGTGCTTGCCCTCTCTTCTTTGTATGCTAAATTCCTATGCAGTTGCAAGTAAGCCGCCCCGAGGCTTCGGCGAATGGGGTGGCATAAAAATGTTTTAATAAATAAATAAATAAAGTACTGGCTGTTGTTTTTACCAATCTTGCCTGCTGCTTCTGTAACTTGGCAAAGCTACCCATGAATAACCCACAGTTCTTGGTTCATGTATAACAATTTAAACAACTCAGTGTTGACAACTCAGTTTTAAAAAATGATAATTTTAGTTGTTTATAGTTAAGAAAACTTGCTTTTTTGGTGCAGCAGTGTTGTGATACAACAACCCAGGATTCAACAACTCATGTATGAGGGGTTTTCCAAAAGTTTCCACACTTTTCTATTTTATAAATATATTTTATATATTTTTTGCTGATTGCATTAAAAATTTGGTATGACACTGGGGAAAAAAGCATCGCAAAGGAAGCTGAGTATGTAGAAAAGTGATTTAATTTGTTTTTGAAATTCTTAATAAATAGGAGTTTTTAAAAGTGCGGAAAGTTTTTGAAGAACCCTCGTATTAAAAAATGGGCTAATGTCATGTACAAGCCCGATTACTCTCCTATTATTGCATTCCTTCCAGGGAAGGACACCCAGCTTTGGCCAGTTTTGTGCCCTGAACTGCGTGTGTGCATTCGCTGTTCCACCTCAGTCCTCCTGGTCATACTCTGAAACTGTAATTCTATCTGCAATTTCAAACAGAGGTTGTGGTGAAAAGTTGTGTCACCGTTTGCTAGCTCATACGTGATTAGAAATGGCCTGTGTGCCGCTTTGGATCAACTTTTTCATTTTGGAAGGACTTGAACAACACATTCGTTTCTTCTCTCCAGGTCACAGTATCCAGGGGGAGAATCCGTCCCTTCCTACATGCCCATTTTCTCGGATGGATGGGTGCTTCCCATGCCCACTTGGAGACTCGCTCATTCGGAAATGGTGAGTGCCTCCTGAAAGGCAGAATACCACTGGCAAACTGGAACCAGACTTCCTCAGTCTATAACACATAGGCACTTTATGGATGGCAGATATCTGGCCAAGACCTCCTGTTTTACTCAGGGGGAGGACAAAAAAGCCCCATCTTATACTCCAGTAAGTTGTTCCAGAACAAAGCTAGTTTTCCTGGAAATACCCATGTAGAGCTGCCAAGCGGTGCCTTATGTGAAAAAGATTTACAAGGATTCCTCTCCAATGTTGCTCCGTATTTCAGCTTTCCTCAACTGGGTGTCCTCTGGATGGGTTGGACTGCAATTCCTATCACTCACAATAAGCATGGGCTTTGTTTATTAAAAGAATGCAGTGTGCTTCTCTGGACAACCTGCCGCATGCAAAGAATTGCTTTATAACATTGCCAAAGATTGCAGAACCAATCCCAACACATCAATGCATTCACTGATCATTTGAATAAAATTTTACTGCAACTTCCCACCTCAGATATATAGGCAAGAAGCTGCAAAGCACTGTATATAAGGAACTGTGTATCACTGGGAATAATGCCTTTGTCCACAGATATGGAATAATTAGGATTTTTTAAAAATCCATGTAATGCATAGTAGCAATATGCCTTTTCCCACTCACAATAAATGTTTGAATATCCCATATGTATTGTTTTTCACACAGGTCCCTAATGGAACTAAGGACTTCTTGGACAGGTATGCCCTCTTATGACTGCCTTATGTGACAGAGAATATTCACAAAGGGTGACATTTCTAGTTGCAAACAACAGCAACCTGCATCAGACACGACAGTGGAACAGAGCATGCAATCTCTCTCTCTCTCTGCCTCCAGATGCAAGTGAGAATATCATACTCCATATGAACACACCTCAGTTGTAAGCTTAGGTTTACACTGACCTAAGTGAGAGCCAAAGATCCCCACCTGCTTAACCATAGGAAGAATACAGATGCAGAACCACATCTGTATCAGAGTGCTGTTGCCAGAACAACTCTCGTACATCTCTTGCTTACCAGCATTCCTGTGTGTTGATGCCCTTGGGAGCAAAAATGAGCAATGTAATTTGGGGAATTTGCCCAGCAGTTTTACCTGGAATCTAAAAAAGGAGACCTGGCCTCCCATTCCCCATTTTCCTTTTTTCAGTAATGATCTCATCTCCTTTTTCAGTGAATCGCAGCATCCGCAGCTTCTGCAAGCCATTTATGATTTCCATGCAAGAAACCCCAAAGAACTTACCGTAATGAAAGGAGATCTATTAGAGGTAAGATGGAAGCTCTTTTATTTAATGCTATATATCCCACTTACTAGCATTTGGAAAGCTGAATACTGGGATAGATGTCTTTTAAATGGGGTCCAGAACATTGGATTTGATAGGCTGTTACAAGTCATGTGCTTCTCTCTCACACATGCACACATTTCTAGATTTTGGACAAAAAGAAGAAATGGTGGCTTGCTAGAAATACTGCAGGGATGGAGGGATACATTCCTAACAACATCCTGGAGACTGTGGATCCAAGGACAATTAAGGGAAACAATACACAGCAGGTAATTACAACTCTTTGCTGTACCCAATGCCCCTGCAGCAGTGCAGAATAGTTGAAGTTTGTAAAATTCTCATGTCCCTCCTCCTAACTGCAATATTTGATTACATCCATGAGGCCCCCAAGAAGGACAATATAACACACAACCAGAACTGTAAGGTTTGATCCAAATTTAGTCAGAATAGACTCAATGGAATCATAGATGCTTTGAGTATATTGGATGCCACAATCTCTTTTTTAGTGCAACACAGCTAACACTTCTCCTATTCTTATGGTTTGGCAATGCTCAATGGTTACTTCCTTTTGGGAGGAGGTAATAATTTGGATACATTTTATGTTGAAAAGGTCTTTAATATTTATGGAAATACCCTTGACATTTAGAACAAAGTCAACATTAAGTGGATTCTCCACCCCCTTTTGACAGCTTTAGGACTAATATTACACTACTGAAAGGACAGGTGTCCAGGTGTCCATCTGCAATAACATGATGGGTGGGGGACTTGATGAAACCTTCAATTTTTGAGCAGGTGGCTGTCAGATGTAATTTACAAATGGACAAATATGTGGATATCCATGCAGCCTTTAATTATCTTTAACAATAGTGCTATATCTTGTCATCTATAAAACATATAGGTATACATAGTATATATGTATATTTCATAATAGGTGCACTCAAATCTCATTGTAAGAAAATTAATATTTTATTTCATTTTATTGGTATATTAGGGTTTGGATTTGATTTTGAAATGGATGATAAAAAATTAATTTAAAAAACCATAGGCTGCGATCATATGCCCATTTACTTGGAAGCTGAGTGGACATGTGTAGAATTGCACTGCTAATATTCTCATTTCCTATTAAACATCTTTCCCTGGTGTTTCTGTATTCAGGTCTCAAGTGGTTTCCCTGACCTCCAGCCAAGTTCCACCCCAGCAGAGGTCACAGCTTGGCTCAGGACAAAAGGCTTCTCCAAAATGTAGGGGTCACTTTTCGAACTAACCAAACAATTCTTCCCTAGTGATCGCTCTTGGCCTCATACCCTAACCAGGCTGATTCACAACTTTGCACACACTACCCACCTAGACTTAGCAAATCAGAAAACAGCAAAGAGCAATGGCATTGCCCGCTATCATGATGCTCTCTGGCTCATTTGCAGTTTCAGAGATTTCCTCCTTACATTCTCACTTGGAAGCAAGGAAGGTGGGGAGAGCTCTGCCCATTTTGCAAGTGCCGTTCTTGTATTCCTTAGCATCAAGGTATTATGTCCCACAGGCTATATGTTGGGCACCTCCCTGTTGCGTGTCCGCACCCCAGCAGAGGCTCATTGGCAAGGACCCCCCGGAGTTGCTGCTTTTGACCATTGCAACCTCATGTTCATCTGCCTCTCATGCCAGACCAGATGAAGTTGGTGGTGACAGGGAACAACAGCGGGCACTGCCTAGTTGCCCCTCGCTCCCTGTTGAGCAGGCAAGTGGTAGCAATGAGGAGGAGGAGGGTGAGGTAATAGAGGTAGTAATGGCAGTTCCCAGGTACACTGAGAAGAGCAGCCCTTTCAGCCTCTTCTCCAAGGGCCTCCAAATCCTTGAGCTAGCATTCAAACTAAATCTGAAGTCTAGTGCACGTCGATCCAGATGCTCAGCCCAGAAGGGCAAGATTGTGTGCCCACTCTTGGTGTCCTTACAGCCGAAAACTAGAGCTATTAGAAAGACAAGGAAAGTTATGGAGGCGAGGGTCAGGTGGGTCGGGTGACCACAGTGCCACACCCATGGGAGGAGGAGCTGTGCATAATAGTGAAAAGTGCCTGGGCACATTTGTACCTTTTCGTAATCTTTAAACAGCACAGTTAAGACCCTGGGTATCCTTAACGGAAGACAACTGCTGTCATTGAGCCAAGCTGAACTAAACGCAGCCTGCCCAGAAGAAGGGAGGAAAGTTTTTTCCATACTTTCAGGAGGGAACACACAGGTAAGAGCCAGCAGAAATGGATGTTGCACCCATCTGTCTTGCCACCAGAGAGCTGCTAAACGGTAAGGGCAGTGGTGAACATGGAGCAAGGGGTGATACGGTGCCACTGATGGTAATGCCCCGCACCCCAAGAATCTTAAGACCCAGGCAATCTTGTATGGAAGGAGGTGGTCTTTCAGGCACCTTGGTTTCAGTCTTAATCAGGAGTGGAAAAGGGAAGTGGATTGTTCCAGTCTGCCTTATCACTGGATTTCTGCTTTTGTGTCTGCATCCAAAACATCTGTACATCTTAGGTTATACGTTATTGAGCAAAACAAAACTCCTGTCCAGAGGGCTCCACAATGTCTCTTTAAGAAGGGTTTGTCCAATTCTCTTACTTACTACTTTTAACTGTATGTTCTGGAAATGTTTTCTTCCCTTTTGTTTTGTAAATATTTACATGTTGCTGCATAAATCTGAATGTGTTGATTTCAGTATATGCTTATTAAATGAGAGTGCATATTAGATTTATATTTAAAAATGCAAATACAGCTTTAAGAATTTTACACATGTTTCCAAAAATCAGGCCAAACAGTATTAGGAAGTGGTATCTATATGCTACTGTAATGTTAAATCCCATTCCATTGCTTCACATGAAGTGAGTATTCATCCTTCCAATGTTATATCAGTCTTTTAGCTGTCAAAAGGGGTATGGAGAATCCATTTGTGCTAATTGTGCATTAAATTCCTGGAAGCAGGAGCATAAACTCACATTCAGCCCCAAGGCAACTTGATAATCTAGAAGGAACACAGACATGGGAATGAAGAGGGCCACATGCTGACCAAGATCTGTTATCTTTAAACTGTTGCAGAAAAATTGTACTTGGATTATGAAACCCATGGCAGAATGAATCTCATCTGAGGCTTTTAGAGATTGGGTGCTACTGTTGCAAATTGTATTCCTCCCAAGGAGGGACTCCTAGCCAAACAACTATAGCACAAGAATGTTGTCACTAGGGATACATTTTCTTATTCTAAAGTTGGCACTTTTGGAATGAAGTGGAATGCAATTTCCACGCTAGTACTTTAATTCACCATTTTGGCTGTTGCTTGATCTCCATTCAATCCACCTGTTGGATGGTTGCAGTGACAGCAGTAGTAAGAGAAGCCCTTTCCCCCATGCATCTGTAACCCCACCGCGCGCGCGCACACACACACACACACTTTGTATTTAAGGACTGGACACTAAAATCAGACCAATTTTAGGCATCTCAGATGCTACTCAGCATCTCTATCTACAGGACCTCTCCACTCATTTCCCAGTCCGCTGAATACCCCGCTCTCCAGTGCAGCTTGCTGGGTGTCCTTGGGCAAGCTACTGTTGCTAAGCCCCACAATTTCAGCACTGCTGTGAGGTCGATGCAGGATAGACCATAGATTTGGGGTGTTCAGCCTCTTCCACCCAAAGTCGCCAAGTTTGGAAGTTTACAGATAGAGTGGGAGCAATAAGATTGTGCTCAGAAGCTCTTACTGCTAGTAACCAAGTCTTATGAGAAGCATTTCAGTCTTTTAGCATGGAGGGGGAACTGCACAAAAGCCAAGAAACCTTCAAAAGATCAGTGGTCAGAGGAAAGGGAGGCTGACCAGACCTGGGCTCATGGCTCTGAACTTTTGACACCCTTGCCAAAGCATGCCATTGGCCATGTGTGATTTGGAAGGTTAGACCTTATTCTACTTCAAACTGATACTTCTCTCTGCCTGTTTCCTTTAACAGCTTGGTCTGATGTAGCTGCCTTTAGCTGACTTCTAAGAGATCATCACGACAACAATAGCTCTGCTTTAGTACCTTTCAAGAACATTCTCTCAGAAACTGGTTATCCTTAGGTGATGGATGCCACAAATGCACAGCTATAAAGGAAAACTAATTTTGAGTGGTGAGATAGTAGACCATGCAACGCAAAAACCCTACCAGTGACATTCCTTTATGAAGCTCAAGTTGCATCTTCCAAAACTTGCAGGACCAATGTGAAAACCTGTAGTGGGAGAGAAAACTCTATTCTTGATTGAATGCCTGAGAATAGAATCAAATTTAAATCCTAATTCAGAAATCCTAAGTCTACCTGTGTAGAAGAATGTTGACTTTCCGATGACATCATTCTGCCAAAGAAGCTCTGTTCCCGTTATCCTACTAGTTTCAAAGACTGACTCTTGTTTGTGTAGGGCTGGTTCCAAACAAATGTTCATTTCTAAGATGCTTTGGTATTTATTGTGCTAGACAAAGGGTGCAATCCAATGCATGTTCTGAAACAGAAACGGCCAAAAACCCAAAGCTGGCTAAAGCATGCTGGGAACTGTAAACCATTTTTCCATTTAAGCTCGCCTGATATTGCTCCCTATTATACCGACCACTTTGGAATTATTTCAATGTTTGTAAATAGTACATTTAATTCTGGGCATGTGCTTTCCATGGGCATGGATTCTGGGCATGTGCTTTCCTGGGCATGTGCTTTCCATTACAGGTTTGGGGGCGAGGACAAAATCTGCAGGTAACATTTGGCCCTGCAGCCAGAACCCACCCACCCCACTGGGAAGAAACCCTTAGGTTGCTAAGATTAAGAAAACTAGGGCTAAATAATGTCAGAAGTATAAATTAGTTGATACTGAAAGCAGAAGGGCATTGTGTTCCTTAAGGCGTCCTCTCCTCCCTTCCCTTTGCAACATACTCAACAATGGCTCATGCAAGACTATGTACAATCCACCTGCCCTGGCTCCAGAGCTATCAGGCATTCCCACACTTCACATCCTTTCCAACCACAAGGTCAAGAAATTTGTTTAAACATGAAAGATTTTCAGGACACTCTATTCAGTAATATTTTTTGCAGTTCCAACCATATGTTGATGCCCTGACAGGTTAGGCTGAAGATGTGAGGATGGGAAGAATAGGTACCTGGGCATCTGTTGTGCTCAAGTATACACTCATTTCAGACTTTTTTTCATTAATTGAAGGATGGGAAAACTGAACACAACTTACAAAACTTAGTTTGGGCTGAAAGTTTGAGAATGGAAGTAGCAGTAGTAAAATAGCATAACCAGAAACAATGGAAAAGCTCCCCAGGGCAGGCTATTGGAAAATGAATGGAGCTAAAGAAAGTACCAATGAAGCTAATTTAACATGTATATAAAGTGGGGCAGGGTGGGGAGTTCTATGCACTTTTAAACAGAAGTCCTAGAACTGCCAGTATTCCCAACAAAGCTGATTGTGGAACACTAAGTTGTAGAGACTTCCCTGTTTAAAACATAAACCAGACTACATCCTAGAAGTATTCAGTAGTATTCTAGCCAATGGAAGAGGACCAGAAATTCCTCCTCCATGGCCTTTTCTTTTGCAATTAAGTGCAGGGTATGTATTTCTCAGGTTCAAGAAAATGAGAAATCTGATTCCATCAGTGAACCAACCAGCAAGCACAAAAAGCTGGACAGTCCACAAACAGAACATAGCAAGAACCATACGACCCAATAAGCATGTTGCTCAGTGGTCCCATGTTCAGTCTTCAGCATCTTCAGGTAAGGCTAGAAATATTCCTGCCTGAAACCCTGGAAAGCCACTGCCAATCAAGTGTGGAAATTACTGGGCTAGATGGCCCATGGTCTGCTCATGGCAGCTTCCTATGTTCTTACAATCAGATTTGCAGAAGGCTGTTTGAGTAACTGCTTTTCTGCAAATACTAGTGCTAAGGTTGTTACCCTGTTAAGTCAAGATGTTCATCTAAATATTGGGGGGAATTCTATAGAAAATACAGTTTGCTGCCAAGGAAATCTGCCATTTCAGATAATTCCAGCATTGATAGCACACCAGTCCTCTATCAACTACATTGGTTACTGATTGATGTCCGGGCCAATTTAAAGTACTAATACCAACATTTAAAGCCTTAAACAATTTGGGGCCAGATTATCTGAAAGAACACCTCCTCCTGTACAAGCCTAGCAGAGATCATCATCAGTAGTCCTTTGCAGAGTTCCCTCCAAAGCAAGCAAGGGCCTTCCCCAGTGTAGCAGCCCATCTGTAGAACCAGCTCCCCCAAGAGGTTCACCTGGCATGTACTCTAACCCTTTTACTTCCCCAGTATTTTAATAGACTTATTTCCATTTTAATGTATTTTCCTAGTGTCCCTCTAGATTGATTTATCTGCAGTTGTAGTGGATAGATCATTTTTATTATAGTATTATATTTATAGTAATTGTATTACTGAGATTTTAAAATGATTGTTTTATATTATTGTATCTTTTGATTTTATGAATTGCCCAGGGAGCCTTTGAACTGATGGGCAATATTCTAATAAACAAAAAATATGCAATTTATCCTTGAGTTAACAGAAAGCTAACAGGCAATTTACCTTTGATCACCACATGCAATAGTCTTGTCTTCTAAGGTTTGCTCATATAATCCTTCAAAGAACTGTGACATTAAAGATGCCATCCTGTGTATGTTTAGAGAGAGAAATTCCTACAGCTTCCAGCATTCCCTTGCCAGCCAAGGAATGCTGGAAGCTGTACAACTTTTTCTATATCAATATGCATCAGACTGCACCTCAAGACAGTCTGCCATGAGGCCAATGGCCAGCAAAGATGTGAGGGCACTTTCAGCACAATGTCACATCATTCCAGGATTCTTTATTGGCTACTACGGCTTTCAAGATACAAAAAAGCATCAACCACCATTCTACACAAAGAGTGCACCAAATTCTAGAAAAGGCAACTGCTTTAGTCTATTGGATTGACTCCAGCCAAGAGCAAGAAGTAGTAGTTGTCTGTCATTCACAGCAGCAAGGAGATGTTTAAATCATCCTTCTATTCTTTCTTGTTACCCCATTTGGCCATCTTGTTATTAATGGGAGTCTTCATAAAGCGGTTGGAGCTCATGTAGGCAGCAATCTTTTCCAGAGCCTGAGAACACAGAAGCAGGAGGACTTTAGGAAAACAGTGCTGTGGGAGAAGGGACTTGGGGGTGGGGGAGAGGCTAGAGAGCTTTAAGAAACTAACAGTCCCCCTTGCCTGCCTAAGATTTGCCCATGGGAAAACGGACCCTCTAGTCCTGCCAAGATCCTGGACTCCAGCTTCCATCTGACCTAGCAAGCAATGGCAGGGATGGCTGGAGTTATAGCCCAAAAAATCTGGAGCAAAGGGTTGGGATGAAACTCAGGAAAAGCCATTCCTCTTGCATTCGTGGACTTCCCTCACGCTGAGCCTGGTCTTGAAAAGTGAGCCACACTGGCAGAACAACGTTTGCATCATCAGCAGTCTTCAGTTAGGTGCAGCAGCAGAAACCAAGGCTGCTGGCACACGGTGCAAAAGAGGGGTGATGGTTGTGCAGCAAACGGGGCTCAGCTCCTGGCAGGTGCCATGTGAACACCGGGAATGACTCAAGGCCACAACCGTGCCTTCCTTGTGCTGGCTCATTCCAGCCCCACAATTCTACTTGCATCAAGCCGCCATAATCTCTTATCTCAAAAGGCCTCTGTGACTCATAATGAAACTTCTCCCTCTCCCTCACACGCACACTCACACTCACACACAATAATGAGGAAAGTTTTCAACTAGGAAAACTAGGAGCCATGCTGTTCTAGGAAAGACTAGGGAATATGGGAGTTGTAGGGATTTTATCTTATCTTAGTTCACTCAAATATGCAGATACATGCCAAGATGTTACAGCTTGCAGCAGAGCTAATCTTTGCATTGCTAGCAGCCACATCAAAGAGGAAAAGGTTGAATAAGGGAAACAAGGAAAGTTACTACCATGCCTCCTGATAGAAATACGCATTTCTGAACGCTCTCCCACTCCTCGTAATGTGCCAACTGTGTTTCTCTCATTTTCCTGTCCTTGCCAGCTTGGCCAGCTGCTCTAGTCAGTTTGAAACTTTGTCGTCAATTAATCTGTTGGTGGATTCTTGCCAGTAACTAGCAAAGCAAGTCACTAGATAGTAGCAAAGACCTGCAAGTTAGCACGTCGCAGCAAGACAAAAACTAACCTCAAAGCGGGTGAGAAAATCCTGAAGATTCTTGAACTGATCAAGGCACGTGGGTTCAAACATACGGTTTTGGTCAAGTACATCGTACATGAGGAAGTCAACAAATGTGATCTGGAAAAAGAATTAACAGTGAGACCACAGAGTGATCAGCCCTGCCTTCAGACACCCACCGTGTGAACATATACTACCTTGTCACCAGCAAACCACTTTCGGTCCCCCAAGAACTGGGAGAACAGTTTGAGCTTCCCGGGCAGCTGTTCCAAGTATCCAGGTTTTAGTTTCTCCTGCAAAATAAGGAAAAATGAACTGCAAATCATAGATAAAAGTTCAGTGGTTTCCATCTATTCCACAGAGCTATGGAATTTGGTGCCATCAGTCCAAGAGGCATTAGTACAGGCATGACCCAGGTTACAAATGAGTTCTTACAAAACAGAAATTTGTAAGTCAAATTTGTATTTAAGTTGGCTCACATATAGTTGGCCTTCCACATTGGAAGGGTTTAAGGGGTGCAGGACCCTTGCGAGAGTGGAAAAACCAAGAATATATCTAGGTCCCTTCCCCCACCCAAACTCACCAGTGCCTCCTCTGCAACAAGAACATGCTGGAAAGATTTCCCTCTCTGGATAGGCTTCCTCTCTCCCTAGGCTAATGACAATTTTCCTAAATTAACAGACCTGAGGGCAGTTCATAAGTACGGGTGGCTTGTAGCTCAGGGACTCCCTGTATAATCCAGGAGACACCTTGCCTTCAGAGAGTATTGGCAAGAAAAGGCTAGGCTTGGCTTTGAACAGCAGTTTTACATCATAACATAGGCATTCCTCCTTCCGCTAGCCAAATTCTATTCATCACTGCTGTAACACGCACAGAGTGAAAGGAGAGAATGAAAGATGCTGTTCTCGATCAGCTTTATATTTTACACAGCAAGGACAGTTACCGAGTCTACACTGCTGTTTCCTGCAAAGTATAAATAAGCCATACCTTTAAGGATATGAGCTTCCCAGAAACCAGACACAGGCTTTGGAGGAGTCCATGCACATCACCTACACTTTATGCATTTATCACATGGGACACTGGAGCACATTCGGGATGTGTGAGGAATCCACTGGATTCCCTGAGCGCAGCTCCCCAAACTCCTGTCTGCTTTGCAGCAGCCCAAATTCCTAGTGAGTGTGCTCAGCATTCCCACCAAATTCCTAGTGAGTGTGCCCAGCATTTACGGAACGTTCACCAGGAACTGAATTCCACATGCTGGGCAAGCAGCATCCTCCTCCTCCATCAGGTGCAGTTGCCATTTATACAACGCAAGGTGGTTCCCAGTTGCACAACTGGGCATCTGTGAGCATTCACAGACTTTCCTTGGGCTCAGCTCACTTTGGAAAACCAAGCCAAGAACAAGAGGGAGCCGGGGAATGCTTGGAAGGGCATCCAATAGGGCCCATCCCACCCCTACTGTGTATACATAGCAACTCTTCACCATGGACCTAACGTCATTTTACAGGCACCCTGTAGCACCCCAAATCCCCATCTAGCCCAATACAGTAGCAGATGAAAATGACCAACTCACAAAATCAGAATTGTAGCAGACCATCACAAGGGCCAAGCGGAAATCCATCACCTGGTTCTCCAGCATATCCACTCTGATCATCTCTTCTTCAGTTTCTCCACCTGGAGCCACCACAAGAAGATGAGAACTCCTGGGCAGACAGGTTTTGAGCATCCAGTCTAGACCCCAGAAGTCCTTAGGTATACTCACAGAGTTTGTGCTTGCGTGCGATGTACCGGAGGATGGCATTACTTTGTGTAAGCTTGGTCTTACCATCAATTAGGTAAGGAAGCTGGAAAAAAAGCAAAGTGAGCGGCTTAAGGTGGAATCCTTGCTTTGTACTTCCAGCTCACTATTAGCACTTTATTTACAATACTCATACTTGTTCCTCAGCTGTTTCTTCTCTTTTAAGGTCTGACACATGAGTACCACAGGTAAGAGCATGTGCCTCCACCATACATCCAGACCTCATGGACAACCTGGCAAGATATTCTTCCCACCCATCATATGAGTTAAAAAAAAGTTACATACATTAGGGAAATCCAGTCCCAACTTCTCTTTTTCATTCATCCACTGACTCTTATCATAGTCAGGAGCTGAAAAAGATGCAGGGAGGGTTAAATTCCGGCACAGAAAATATGCTCAATCACAATTCAGTTTTTCACCTACCCAAGAAGATCCAATCTTAAGACACGCTAGAAAGTCTATGTCGATTCTGCAGCCAGACACTTGTTCAAGGAAGAGCTCGAGGCATTCAACAAGATTTACTTCTAAGCTTTACCACACCCCATTGCAAATGCACCGAGATGTTTTAACAGGCTTTCTCTTGAACTGCTGAGTTATAGAAACACTACTCAAGCTGATAACAAGTTCAGGCAAGTCCTTTAATCCCCCCAACCAAGCCTTTAACTTATCCTCTTGGTATGCTTCATTCTGACAGATCTTGGAAAGGTATTTATGTGAAACCAGAGTTGGCCTTGCCATTAGGGACAATGAGGTGGAATCAGGAGGAGGTGGCAGCAAAGTGTGGCAAGACAGAACAATGTATAGCCAAAGACATATAGAAAGGCAAGCAGCACTGCAGTTGGATTTTTCATATGGAACTGGAACAGGGAAGGAGGCCTTCTTGCCCTTCTCACACAGCAAAGCTTCTTGCACCAGGCCTCTGTGGAGCATTTTCACTCTGGCCTAGTTTTGCATCAACTAACACCACAGAGCATTCAACAGATTTAAAAAAAAAGACTGGCAGGCTGAAGACATATTAAGACAAAAAAACAAGATCTGCGGTTTAAAGCACATGAGAAGACAAAGCTTCCATTATAGTTCTAGTGGACCACGTAGGGCTTTTCCAAACAAACTGTTCTTCAGCAAGAAACATGGTTACTGGCATACATTTTCAAATGCAGCCATCTTGCCTAAGGTCCTTGCTTCTGCTGTAGAAAGAGCTCCTTCAGTTAGCTCTTTACTCTTAGGAAAGTTTCTTCCCCTCCCACAGGCCAGAAGGAACACACTTGGCATCACATAGCATGAAAGCTATCAATAAACTCCATTGTTATGGAATTTTGAGGTGTGTTTTTAATCCCTTTAAATGATTTCCATCCCTGCTTTGCTTAACAAGGCCTTCTCCCACTTCTTGCCTTTGTCCTGCCATTTCAGGTATCTGAAACATGTATGAAATTTCAAGTAGAGCTATCCCTGCTAACTACATACTCCCCTAATGTGAAAAGATACTCCAGGAGCACCCAATCAGATTTCTCTCTGGAGAAATGAGCAAATAAAGTAGCGCCATTGCGACTCCTCAGTCTAAGCCCCTTCCCTCTTCAAGTTCTTGGAGAAAGAATTGCACTGAACTGAGACTGACATTAAGGGACAAGAAATAAACACCATCATCATGATTTAATGCTATAACTAGTTTTTACCATACTTCAGGAGGATTTGTGATTACCGTCACCTTCCACAACCTGGTGAAAGCATAAGTTTGAGTATCAAAAGTCTGAACAGTGAAAATTATCTTCTGATATTTTCCTTGTGGGCTACACACTTCTCCAGGGACAAGGCCACAAACCAGGTTGGGGAAAGCTGGGATAGGCGACCATATTATTGGTCCTAGAATGCGTCAGTGGTATAAAAGCTGTTTTCTGATTAATCTGGTAAGGTTCTGTTACAGCAGCTTCACACACTAACCTGAATCCAATATCCCTACCCTACTACCCTAATGTCATCCAAGTTCTGTACCATTAGATGTGAATTTTAAATCATTCAGAGCACAGTCCCATGGGCTGCACCCTTAATAATCCTAAACCCCCAGAAACTTATGAGTTTCACCTCCCCATTCTCCTGCTCTGCAATTTTCACTAGATGGGCTATTTGTCTAACTTGGATGCAGAGGCCTCATGATAACTCATACATTATACTCATCAACCTCCTCTCCACAACCCATAAAAATGCCCCCTTCTCTGGCACTGAGTTTCTAACTGGCTGCAAAGGGGAGAGGTGCTAGTGCTGTAATTCCCTCCTCTGACATCAGAGCCCCTGATCTAACGAAAGACTGGAGAATATGAAACATTCCATGGCCCCTTAGATGCTGGTACCATAGGAATGCTCCTTCTTTGTTTTATTCCTTCCATAATTAGCAGGTACTGCAGCTCTGACCTCTCATATTTCTGGCTCCCAAGATTTCAGAGAGATACAGCCTGCACAGTAAAAGCTACAAGCTTACGGGTCCCTAAACAGTAGCAGAGAGAACACCCAAGACTCTCAGCAGGCTCCTTTTGTATTCTTGCTCAGAATCTCAACATACACAACTCTGGAAATAGATTTCAAAATAATACCAGATAGCCAATGCAGTTTCTTTTGAAGCAGTGTATGCATCTGTGAGGGTGTGTCAACCACTCTGAAAATACAGCTTTATGTGATACTTTCTCCTACAACAGATTCATTCTGTATATGGATGTTACAAGTCCCTCAACAATCCATCAGAAACTTTTACAATTTAGTGCTACAACTGCAAATTGCAGCTATGAACATTCGGAACAAATTGGGCTGGCTTAAGTACAACAGAGACGCTTCATCTACCCTTGCCTGGCTCTGGCATATAAAGCCCAGTAACACCTACCTTCCCCACAGCTGTACAGCTTATCTTCGTAAGGTGTTCCTGTGTATTCTAGAAGCAACCGGATGCTATGGGCAAGCTGTAAAGGAGAAAGTGCCAAAGTACTATGAGAAAACAGTAGCTACTGGTAAGAGGATTGGGTACCATTATAAGAAGAAATTTCAGGATGGTTTCTGAATAAGCATACAGTCCTAATATGAAACACATACATTAGCAATATATTTTATGCAGCATTTCCTAACAAACTCAAACTAGTAAGCAGACCTGCAGGAATATCAACAAAAAACTTCTGAAGTGTCTTCGGTGTATCCCTGCAAAATTTGCTTGGATACCATTTATTATGCAAGAGATATTACCTGTGAATTATTTCCTAAATTAAGACCCAGGACTCTTTACAAATAGATGACATAGCTTTATGTCCTATCCTTGTTAGCCATGCTAAGCACATTTTGGGCAGGAAGGTGTGATTATAAAGGTTAGGCTAACTCTAATTTATATGAGCCACAAATTAAGCATACTGTAATGCCTACAAATACAATACTGTACTGTTGGCATTGGCTGAAGCTCCACTGACTAAAAGGAGGAATATCACAAGATAAGAAGTGAGAACCTAGACATCTGCTCTTCTACCAGGGAACATTTTCTCAATGGCAAGACAGACAGACGAGAGACCTTTGGACGGCACAGCCAGGCAGTTCTGCAGAGCACTGCACCCAACTGGCCAATCTGCTGGGTGGCCCTTCCCTTGAGGGATGGCGCTCCCTGAAAATGCCTGGCACTGGCTGAAGCTACACAAGGAGCCACAACCAGCCCCTGGCACAAGATTCCTCACCCCCTGTGCAAACAGGGCATTGCCATGAAGAAGAGGCCAGCTGGCAGTACAAATGCAGTGCCAGTGAAGGTTCCCCTTTGAGCAAGAAGAGGTCAACAACCCCAGTATAACTGGCAAAAGATTACTAACAGTAAACACAAAAAAGCAGTGTCACAATTAAGTCAGCAGCTCTGTGCACTCAGCTCGGTATTGTGCGTTCAGATCACTATAACCTCCCTGCCGCCCTCCCCCTCTGGCCCTTCCCATGGCTTTTGCCATAACCCCTGTCTCCTCCCCCACCTCCCCATCTTACCGCTCTTCTCATCCTCCCACCACAGCCATAGATGGGGCACTGATCGTACCTTAAGGCCGATGCATCCCCTCAACTTCTCTTTGTAAGGTGAAATCAAATCAAACCATATCCAGCTTAAATACCTAAACAATACAGTCATTAGAAACCTATCAGGTGTCATATGCACAAGTGACACCACCTGTGGCTCCTTTGAAGAATCTTTGCACTCTCTGGCCTTTAACAGAACCTTTTTTTTTTTTTTTTGCTTGCTTGCTTCTTCGATACATTTTCAATGACATTTTATTTTTAGCTTGCATATTTTCACATAACTGAAAGTTAAAAGGGTGCTTTCTAATTTGATATTTTACCTTCTTCAACTTCACAGGCCACCCTGGGAAAACCAGAGCCACTAAAGGTAGTGCGCGCATGTGATATATATGTTGCATAGTATAAATGCACACAGACACAACTTTATGAGCCAGGAACAAGCGAAGCTTGTTCACTCGATGCACCGAAAGAAACGAGAATTCAAAAGAGAGCGGGAGTTACGCGCTTAGCTACAGTAAGATTGCGCGTCTCCTTATCGCGCAGCATCACCCAGGTTGCATTTAGGCAGCGCCAAGTCCCAGCGGGGTTCGCGCCGCCCCCAGATCAGCGCGTCTTGAGCTCCTACCGTTTCGAGGCGCGCAGGAAGAGAGGCGGGAGCACGGCAGACGCGGACGACCGAGCAGAGCTTTGCTGGCGCGAACAGGTCGGCGAACAAGCCGCTGCTTCTTTCCCGAGGACAAAGGACGCTGTCCTGCACGCGCCCACGTCTCCGCTGCGGCGCGCAACCCACGCGCTCCTCGTGCACGGGAGCGCGAACTGCTCGGGAGAGAAAGCCGAGCCGAAGTGCCCAGCGGCGCTGTAACGCTTTAGGAATGGCCCGCGAGCTCTCCGCGCCCGCAGACCGACGAAGGCCCTCCAACCGCTGGCTGCAGGCACGCTGCATTTTCCCTGCAGATCCACGGGGGACTTTCAGGCGACTTGCGGCTAGCAGGACAACCCTGCCTCCCCCCGAGCGCCTCTTTGATCAACACCATCTCCGCGCCCCGAGGAAAGCTCAGGGCCCCCCAAGCCCACCCCCAGCTCTCCTCCGCAAAGAACTCCTGCCCAGCCCTCCGCGCCTCCACGGCCCAGGCAGACAGGGGCGAGCCGCCAGGCTTGCTGAGTCGTGGCCGGCGGCGTGCCCACCTGGGAAGGCAAGCCACGAGCAGCGCCCCGGTAGAAGGGGGCGGAACGCTGGCGAGGGATCTGCGACACTCGAGGTCCAGCTACGAGTTCGGGGAAGCAAAAGGACGCGAAGCACCTGTTCGTCTTTCTCTGGACGGGAAGAAACTCACCCCTCGAATATCCCAGTAGCCCAGAATCATGGCCATGATGGTGCTTGAATCGGCTCCGGCTGCCTCGACCGCCCCGCCTCGCGCTCTCGCTGCAGAAGTAGCGAAAGAGGAAGCCCCCAGCGAGGAGCTTAAGAAAAGCTCTGCGCGCCACCGCCGCCGAGGGGCGTCGATTTCTTAGGACTCGTTAAAGGGCCAGCGCTGCTTAAAAGCTCACAGAAAAAGCAGGAAAAGTTCGAGAAACGGCCTTTGACACGTGGCTCAGAGAGACCTAATCAAAAGCTGCCCGGGGAGAACAATCACTACCCCCCACACTTTTATTGCTTAGTAGAATTTGAAATCGATGCATTCGAAACACGGTGCTGGAGGAGCTTTGCGAATGCCCTGCCCCGACAAAAAGAGGAACAGGTGGGTCCTGGATCAAATCAAGCCAGTGCTTTCCCTAGAAGCAAAAATGACAAAACAGGCTGTCATACTTTGGGCACATCAGGAGAAGGCAAGACTCGTTGGAGAAGACAATCCTGCTAGGGAAACCCGAAGGCAGGAGAAGAAAAGGAAGAGCAAATCTGAGAGAGACTGAATTCATAAAGGAAGCCACAGCCTTGAAATTGGAACTAATGGACAGGACATTTTGGAGGGTCCACATTCATGGGGCTTCCATAAGGCAAAGATTACTTGACAGCACGCAATAACAATATGAAAACTGAGAGTCCTCTGGGATCCCGCTTGAAGCAGACTGACAAAGGGAATGAGAATCTCTAGGTGGCATTTTATTTATTTTTTTAATCTTTAGGGTGATTAGGAGATGAATGAGAAGAAAGTGCTTAAACATGACAAAGAAGGAATGTGTGAAACACTGGCGATATGTTTGAACTGGTAAAGCTTAGTAAAGTGTAATATTATGCATGTTCAGAGAGAAAGGTCGTAGAGTTCCCAATATGTCACAGTCAGCCATAGTAGGTCTTGTAGGACTTTTTTTCCGTCCAAACATAAATAGAATTGTGTTCTTAAATTGTTAAAGGCAGCTCTTAAGAGATCCAATCTGAAATAGAACAACCTGCTGTAACAGGATTGTTACAGGGCTCACTCAGTAACTTAGAAGAGGACTTCAAGGACAGCCTCTTCCTTGTGGAATTCTTGAATATTTACCAGATGCTACCCTGGCCTTGAGAAACTTTACAATTCCAGAATGGCCCCTGGAAGGTGAAATGCAATCTTTCATGTCCTTAATTCTCCTAAAGCACCATCGTAGACAAGGTTAGATGGAAAGCAAAAGGCCT